AAACATTGCTATCCTCTGATTCATGTCAGCTTCGCGAAAAGGAAAATAGTACAGTCGTAGATGATGATCTGCCTTGAGAATGCAGACCGTTGAGATGTAGGAAAGTTCTAGCTGCAGACATGGACAGACGCCTCATGGGGCTCATCTTCCGAATTCTGCACCCTGGTGACGTTTAGAGGGGCGCAAATAGTGTGTGTTCGATCTGGAGTGGTCGTTTTGTCCGGAATTTTTTTTGTTCTGATTCCCTGCAGGTCCTAACTGATGGACCAATTCCACCCTTGACACCAAAGAAAGCATTAAGGTCACTTTAACATTTCTATCGCAACTTGTGCGAAACTTACGAAATGAGTTGGCGGTGAGGAAATGTTCATAACAAAAAGCTCTCGCTCTTTACTAATCTTAATCATGATCTCACCAGGCAAAGGAAATTTGAGAAATTCTATTGGCCTGTTAAACTACTGCACTTTGCAATATGCCGCGATCGTTGGGACTTTTAATGGTAGGCCTAAAAAATGCGAACTAGTGTGTCATGCTACAAAAATGGGGACATTGCTGAAAATGGGTTGGGTTTTTTATGCTCTATGTAAAGCAAAACTATTCTGTGGAGTGATCTAAAACGAATGTCAGACAAATTCCTTTTGACTTTCAAATGTTGTGTACACATTTGAAACGCAAATCTTCAGTGTGGAGGAAAATATGTACAAAACAAAGTTTTATATATTTTTTAAAATCGCCCTGTAGAATTTCCATGTACAACAGTGCATGGGAGCAGATCATACTATAGCTCAGGCAGTCTTCCGTGTGAGTGGTTGGTGGGAGCTCTGGTGTGGTTGGTTCCCACTTTCCTATGAAACATCTGTCGTCCTTTTCACCCCTCCTTCTTTTTTGGGATTATTACTCTCTTGTTACACCTCTTATATTTGGCATTTATAATATGATCTAATTAAATTAAACTAAATTCATCTGTCACCTTCAAAATAAAAAAATGTTAGTTTTTCAAGGTCGCGAGTCGAATCTGTTATAGTGTGCCAAAATAGAAGCTTTCGCCCCTCTATGAAGGAAAAACAATCTTGCCAAAATGACGGTTTTTGCCCCATCCAAGAAGGAAAATGAGGCTTG